GTTCCCTGAGCAGGGACAAGGACCAGCCCTGGCTCGGGCAACCATGTACGTCCGGGGGCTGCACATCTGAGGCCCTTGCAGAACAAATAAATATGGTGGCGCACAGACGGGCGAAGCCTGAGAGAGGAGAACGGGAGACACGCGTCGTCCCGGAAGGCACATTATGTCTGTCTGAGGGAAGCCCCTATGTCGCTTCTCTGGGATCACCTAGATCCTCCGTCCTGTGACCTCAAACTCAGGGCTCAGCAGACGTTCTCTGCAAAGGGCTTGATGGTGTCTGTTGTGGCCTCTCCGCTCTGCCACTGCGGTGCCAAAGCCACCATCGATAATACGAAAGCCAACGGGGGTGGCTCCGTCCCAGTAAAACTTTATGTTTGGACGCAGAAGCTTGAATTTCATACGTTTTTCACGCATCGTCATGCAACATGATGGTGCTTTCTGTCTGTTTTCACCCCAATTATTTACAAATGTAAAAAAAAAAACGTTTTTAGCTGAAGGGGCTGTACAAATACAGGACGGTGGGTTCGACGTGGCCTCAGACTGTCGCTGGCTGACCGTTGCTCCCCCGTGACCTTTCTTTTCTTAATCTGTTCAATTAAATGTGTCTGTATTCACAGCACACAGAAGCTCTCAGTTGGTGGTTTTTTTTTTTTTTTTGAGACAGAGTCTGGCTGTTTTGCCCGGGCTAGAGTGAGTGCTGTGGCGTCAGCCTAGCTCACAGCAACCTCACACTCCTGGGCTCAAGCGATCCTCCTGCCTCAGCCTCCCGAGTAGCTGGGACTACAGGCATGTGCCACGATGCCCGGCTAATCTTTTCTGTATATATATTTTTAGTTGTCCATTAATTTCTTTCTATTTTTAGTAGAGACGGGGGTCTCACCCTTGCTCAGGCTGGTCTCGAACTCCTGGCCTCAAGCAATCCTCCCACTTTGGCCTCCCAGAGTGCTGGGATCACAGGCGAGAGCCACGGCGTCCGGCCAGTAGCAGATATTTGCAAGGTGTTTTATTGTGGTGGTGAAGACACAGCAATGTCTGTCCCACTCCCCTGGGGTGTCCACTGGCCGTTTCTCTGGGATGTATCTCTGTGTTCCCAAATAGTGTGTTTCCCGCATCTCTTGATGTATCGGTTGCGCATCGCGTAGCAATTTCCGATTCCTGAAGGTCGAGACATCGCTCTCTTAGGCGCTCTGCACGCTCACATGGCTGTGCAGCCGTCCCCACCCTCCACCTCCAGAACGTTCTCGTCTTCCCAACTGAAGCTCTGTCCCCATGAAACACTCACTCCCCACCCCCTCCCCAGCCCCTGGCACCCCCCATCCTGCTTCCTGTCTCTGTGGATTTGACGACTCTAGGGACCTCCTGTGAGTGGAGTCACACAGGATGTGTCCTTCTGTGTCTGGCGTCTCTCACTGAGCACGATGTGCCCAAGGTCCATCCACGCTGTGGCCTGTGTCAGAGCCTCGTCCCTTTTCGTGGCTGCGTGATAGTCCATGTGTGGATGGACCACGTTGTGTGTGTCCATCCACCTGTCCGTCTGTCCATGGACACTTGGGTCACTTCCGCCTTTTGGCTGTCGTGCTTGGCGCTGCTGCGACCACAGGTGTGCACACATCTGCTCCCGGATCCATTTGCTTTCCGACCCCTGGGCGGCATGAGCAGGGCGCTAGCGTGTCCACCCGGGCGCTGCCTTCTCCGCCTCTGTGAGCGCAGCGCCCTCTGCCCGGTGCCCAGCGCAGCCCTAACCTGCTTACCTGAAACATCGTCTCTGCCCCGCAGCTGAGCTCGGGAGGCGGCCAGGGAGAAGCTGCCTGGATCGATGGGACTTAGTTCATGCCAGGGGACGAGCTGTGCTGTCACAGCTACTTCCCGTGTCATCCGTGACCCTGCAGGTGCGGTTGACAGATCCGCCCTTCCGTTTCTGTCTTCCCTGAACCGCCTGCCGGGTTCGGTTCCAGCCCTGCCCACGGGCCCGCATCACTTCCCACACTCACCGGTGTCTCCTAGCAACCAGCATCCGCAGCCGAGGTCCCCGCCGCGGTTCCCTGGGGGTGCGTCCCGGTCCTCTGCAACCTGGCTTCTTGAGTCCGGTGTCTTCCTGCCACCTGCCGGCCTGCTCTGGGGTCCGCTGCCCGGTGGGGACGAGGGCTGGGGAGGAGGAGGCAGAAACGATGGCTGTTCAGGCCCTGACTGGGCCCCTCACCCAGACGGTTCATCCATCTGGACCAAATCTTGTGCTAAACCGACTGCTTGGTTTGCGCTGTCGCCGCCTAAACTGAGGTTTTTTGGAGTTGCTAGGAGGGCCGGCTTAACTCTTTGCAGCAGGGCTTGTTTTCAACCGCCTGGTGGTGGAGGTCCCCACCCTGGGAGCCAGCGGTGGGGACAGTAGGGACGGTAAGGAGGGGACTGAGAGGTTTCCGAGAGCTGCCCCTCCAGGGTGGAAGGGAGGAAGCCGGTCTGCACACACTGTCTTGTAACCGGATGGACACGGATGGCATTCTCTTAACAGCCAGGGACAGACTCATGTTTGGGTGTCAGAGTGTGACTTCAAGCATTGCGTGGAGGTTTATTTGGCCACGAGTGTCTCCCTGGCCTGCTTCAGATCTGGGGCTACAGCAGGGCCAGGCGGACGCGCTCCCTGCCTGTCTGCAGAGAATTCACATGCCCAAGGGGAGGACAGAGAACACATCATTTGGATCAGAAACGTGGTTTAAAGGCAATGAACAGGGTTACAGAACAGTCTTGAGGGGCTCAGGGAGGCTGCTCTGAGGAGGTGACATTGAGCTGAGACCTGATGGAGAAGGAGCCGCCATGCAGGTTGGGGAAAGAGCTAATGGGGCAGCCAGAACAGCACGTGCAAAGGCCCTGGGGTGGGAGCGAGTTCAGCTCACTGAAGATCAGCAGTGCACCGTGGGCTGAGGGAGCCGGTGGTGGATGGGCTTCTGGGGGGCTTGGCTGGGATTCTAGGTTTTATCCAGAGTACAGTGGGGACCTCTGGAAGGTTTAAGCAGTGAATGGAGCAAAGGCTGAGAGGGCAGAAGTGGAACCAACAGGATTTCCTTGCGGATTGGCTGTGAGTACAGAGGCATCCGGGAGGACTCCTTGGCAGTGGTGGCAGTCCGCCTGGGCAGCTGGGCAAATGGCAGTGCCACCACCCAGATTCGGGAGGAGGATGGTGTATGTGGCGGGCTGGGGGTTTAGGAAAGGCAGCAGAGCTCCCTTAGGAAGGGACTCGTGGTGGAGATGTCGCCTGCACCCTGGGGACGTCTGAGTGGCTGGGCGCCTATCGGTGGGTCCTGTTTGTGACAGACACAGTGGCAGTGAAGGAGCTCCCTCCCTGGCGGCCCGGCCGCTCCCTTTGGCCTGGGCCCGAGCAGGGGTCCCTCTGAGCATAGCCAGTGCTCTGGGCCCACAACAAGCGCCCCTCCCCTCCTGCCGGGCCATCCCCACCCCTCCCACTCTGCTCCCCACCCACCCCCACAGGCTGGAAGCCCCGTCACAAAAATTGCCCCCTGTGACCATCTGAACCCCTTCTACCCACGCCCTGAGGCTTGCAGGGAGGGTTTGGGGACGCTGCCAGGGGAGCTCTCTGTGGGCAGAGCCGTCTCTCCCAAACTCACCTTAGCCGCCACCTCCTCCAGGAAGCCCTCAGGGGGGCCTCCGGGGCCAGGCCAGGGCAGCTCCTCCAGGGCTGAGACAGAATGCTGGGCCGTGGGACATGCTGACCGGTTTCTCTGCGGCTCCCCCCAGGGAACCCCGGTGCAGGATGGCTGAGGGGACCCCAGCTCTGGCCCCTCTGACCCCTCTCTGCCCACACTTGGGCCGCAGGACCCCTGGGAGAAGGGAACAGGCCCCGTCAAGCCCCCACCCAGAACCCTGAGAGGCAGGCGGAGGGCCCGGGATTTGGGGTCACCTGGGCCCCACAGGAAGGACTGCACGGCCCACACCGGAAGACAAATACATCTCTTTTATTCCTCCCCGTCTCCAGGTCACCCTACAAAGACACTCGGGGCTTGAGCTACACACAGGCTGTCCTCCAAACACGGAAAACCAGAACCGAATGAGTCGGACGGCCACAGGTCACGTCTATCCAAAGGCGGACTTTTCCCGCTAGAGGCCACTGGGCGGCCAGCCAAGAAAACTCCAGGCGAGGGGACAGGTTTGAATGGGCAGAGTGGGTGCTGGGCAGGGGCACCCCCAATGTCCCCTGGTGCCACAGGCCCCTTCCCTTCCCAGTGTCCTCTGGCCGATGGGCCTGGGCCCTGCTCCAAGGATGGGGATGGGCTGAGACCTGCGTCAGGGACAGAGGTAGGAAGGGAAGGAATTTGAAAGGCAGGACCCAGGGGCCTCAGGGGCATGATCCCAGCGGCTCCTTTCTGTGGAAGGCACTCGGTAGTTGGGGGTGTCGGTGGGAGTAGGGGTGTCTCTGGGGTCAGGGCACAGAGGTGTCCCCAGCCTGTGTCTTCATGAGTCGGCGGAGTCCTGCAACCCTCCCCAGGGGGTGAGCCAGCTCCGGCCTGCGGCCTCCGGGCTGCGGTGCTGGTCTGTTTGGAGCAGGCTGGGTTTGGGGGATCCCGGCCCGGGCGCACAGGGTGAGGGTGGGCAGTGACACAGGCCCGCCGGCCACATACAGCCCCCAGCCACCCCCCGTGGCCTCTTCCTGAACCTGCAGGGCCCCATCCAAAGAAGTGATTGAAAACCTACGCCCTCCACCTGCCACAGGGCGAGTTTAGAGCCAGCAAGGAACACCCAAGCTGAGAGTCACGGTGCGTGGGGCACTCGCCGCCTGCCCGCCTGGCCACCGGGCCCACAGGGAGAGGGGCGCACGGCTCTGAGTGCCGGGTGGTGTCTCTTCTCTAAACATTTAAGCACACTCGTGCTTCTTTTAAAGAGAAACCTACAGAACGTTGCTTGGAAGGGAAAGACCATTGTCCGACGGCAGGGACAACACAGCCACGACACCCGCATGTCCGGGGTGCAGGCCCCTGGGTGGCGGGGGCGGCTCACGCAAGCCCCTCTGTGTCCCTCCGGCCCTGCTTCCTCTCGCCCACACCCTCTTCGGCCTCCTCGGCCTCTCTGGGCTCCAGCCGCCTCTTCCGGCAGCGGGACGCGGGCAGCGGGGCCATGCCCAGGAGCGCGTGGATCTGCCGGAAGGCCAGCATGCGCAGGGCGTGCTACGGGCACACGCAGCCGTCAGGACCCGCGTGCCAGCGACACAGGGGGGCTGGCATCTGTGGCCGCCCCACCAGCTCCTTCCCACCTTACTGGAGGGACCCCACACCCTGCGCCACTAGCAATCCCCTGGTCCCGCTAAAGGCAGCTCGCAAACCCAGACCCAGTGCCATCTGATTCGGGGACTGCTGGGACGCTTTTCTTATAAACAGGCTTGAGCACAAGGAAACCGCAGGTGGGGGCTGGCCGGGCAGAGCTGGGGGCCACGGCTGGGTTTTCACGGACCGCGGTGAGGGTGGGGCCGGACAGCCTCTGCCACCCACGGGCCACCCTCCTGTCCCCCAGACATCTCCGCAGGAGGGAGGGAAGGGAAACCTGGGGCCATTTTGGCCACAAGTGGCAGGTGGGACCTGGTGTGGCCCTCACCGTGGGGCCTCCTACCTGGGCACTGGCTGTCACGTCCTCCCGCTCCTGCAGGCTCATGGGCTCCAGGGCGTCCTTCTGGCCTTTCTCGCACGGGTCCTGGAGCCCAGGCCCATCTGGTGCGGGGTGTGAGGCGGTGAGGAAGGAGAGGGCGTCCTCGTGAAAGACGGCACGGCCTTCCTCCCCTCGCCCCGCAAGGCACATTGGGCTGCGGGGCCTCTGGGCCTTTGCACGTGTGCGTGCCCATGTGTGTCCCCCCACACGGTCAGATAACAGGCTCAGATGAGGGCCCAATGCTTCATTGTCCCTTTTGCATTTAATGTCATCCTGGGTCACTAAAATTACTGGAAGACACCGTCTTCCAGACCTGACCACCACCTCCCGCCCTCTCTCCCCTTTGCTGGGTGACACACGCCGTGGTGAGACCTGCGCACACACCCTGCTCTCTGATTTCTGGTTATTTCCTCTGAATAGTCTCCGGGAGGGGTCACCTGGGCAGCTCTGGCTGCCAGAGAACCACCTGCTGCCCAGGCGGACGGAGGGCAGCTCCCCGCTGGGGCCCTGTCTGCCCTCCTGCTGGGAGCGCCCGGGGTGCAAAGCGTCTGGTGATGGCAGCTCCCTGGGCCACAGCCATGGCCACTGGGCTCTGCCATCTGCTGCCCACGCTCTGGGCTCCCCGGCCTGGGCCTGGTGACTGACCTTCCAGTAGTGTCCCTGTGGCCACACACTCCAGGACGCGCCTCACGGCGTCCCCAGGGCCCAGGGGCTGGGTGGCACTGCTCAGAGCCTTCTCCACTAGCAGCTGCATGGCCTGCGGGCAGACAGAGAGGGGCCACTGTGCCTGCAGGGCCACGGCGGCCCTGCCCACCAGGAGCGGCTCTCCCGGGACTCGGCCTGGGGGGTTCTGCAGGGGAAGGTTTGGGGGCCGGGTGGTGACCTGGGGGTCACAATGAGGGTGAGGGGGCCGCTCTGTGAGCCTCAAGGGGCCCTGCACCCTCTTCCCTCCTCTTTCCACCGGGAAGGGCTCAGGGCCCGAGGAACGGGGAGGGGAGGTGTTAGAGCCACAGGGGGTCTGTGCCAGGTCACCCAGAGGCCAGCACGGAGCTGGGACAGGGAACCCTGGCTCTCTGTCCTCTGCGCGGTGCCACCAGGTCTCGGCAGACACCAGCTTATTTCCATGGTGCCCTCACATTTGCATGCTGTCCCCGTTGGGCGAGGTTTTGAGTTTCAAATGACCGCAGGCAAGTGAGACCGTGGGGAGGGGCTTCTCCTGACCCAGGGGACCCTGTGACCGCCCCCACCTCCTCCACCTCTCTCAGCACTAAGGCTCCCGCTGGTCCCTGCGGGGGAAGCCTCACCCTGGGAAGAGGAAGTTTGTCAGGGGGTGGGGGCCCCTTACCCAGGCTGGCAGGGCCCCCCAGGTGGGCACGCGCTGGCAGAGGTCCCGCAGGACCCTGAGGACGAGCACGCACGGCTGCAGGCCGCTGGCGCGAGCCTTTGAAAAAAAAGCACACGTCAGCTCTGAGGGACCTCGGGGCCACACGGCAGGGCAGAGGGCCTGTCCTGGCGCGAGGCCCGCAGAAGACAACAGGGAGCCCGGCGGCCGGCCTCAAAGGCGGCTGCCCCGGTGCTCCTGTCTGCGTGTGGAGGGTTGGGCTGGGGCCTCCTCGCCTGCCCCCGAGACGTCACCCCCACCACCGCCTCCCCCTAGCCCTGACCTGGAACCACTTGGCGTGGCGCAGGGCCGCCAGGGACTTGAGGCACTTCTTGGGGCTCAGGACATCGACTGGCTCGGGCTGAGGCTCCTCCACTCCTTCTGGAAGGAAAAGCAACGCGAGTCCTCAGGGCGCGTGGGGAAGGCACCCGTCCCCCGAAGCCATCCCTGCGAAACCTCGTCTCCTCCAAGTTGACCTTTCTCCCGACTGAGCGACTGGGTGATGCCGATACTGACCCTTGGGGGGCTGGTTAAGGGGAGATTGGGGGGCGATGAATCCAACCCAGTTTCCAGAAACTTCCAAATGCATCAGAAAAGGGAGAAAGTGGGGTCAGATTTCAACATGCTCATCGTTGCCGACCTAGGCCCTAGGGTCTGGGAGGAACGGGGTCCGTTTTCCTTCCTTATGATTTTTTGGTTTTTTATACCATCAAGATCTGTGCAGAATTCCTTCATGTTATTGCTTCAAGAGTATTTTTCTCATTTTGTTATGTGAAATAGCACGAGAGGCCCTGGTTTATGGAGGTCACGTGATGGAAGAGAGGTTCCCCATGAGTCCGTAAATGTCCCCATGGGTCTCTGTCTGTCCGTCCGTCATGGGCAAATGGCTCGCCCGGGCTGGCGTGGAAGCGGCAGGGCTGTGCGCGCAGGACGGACTGTCAGAAGCTGATGTCCCCACCACGCTAGGCCAGAAAAAGCCAACAGGAAGTGCGGTTTCCTGGCAGGCAGCCGACAGGGCTCACCTGTCACAGATCGGTCATGGCAGAAGGATTTCCTGTCCCCTAATTGTCCCCTAATCGTCCACCCAGGCCAGGAAGGAGCCTCCATCTCGTGGCCTCCAACCCTCAACCCCCCTCCCGCTCCCCAGTCTCCTGTTGGCGTGTTCCAGGGCCTTGGTTAGGATCGAAAGGCATCTTTCCCCACGGTGTTTGGTTTTTAAATGACTGTGACAATGGCTTTCTGTCTCACGGTTAAAAGGCTCTCCTTTAAAAAAAAGAAGCTTTGAAAATGAAAGTATTGAAAGAGAAACGTCAGCGGTTCACGGCCCTCGGCTATGACCTATGACGAGAGAACCAGGATGGGGTTGGAGGATGACGGCGTCTGGAAGACGGTCCTAGAGACTGTTCTAGGAGATTTGTCTGCGGGGAGGTGCACACGTGCACTGCACTCCTGACGCCTGCCCTGGCCCGGCCTGGGCCCGGGCCCCTCCCCACACTCCCGGGCATGGCAGGTCTGGCTTCAAGCTTCCTGAGTCCCCGTGACCCCAGCCAGTGGCTCTGGGACCAGCCAGGCCTGCTGTGGCCCCCTGGGACGGGCAGACGGAGTCCAGCTCAGCTCCTGCCAAGACCTGGGGAAACTGCTCAGACCTGCTGGTCACCACCAGGGCTGGTGTCACCTGGGCAGGGGGAGCAGGTGCCCAACACTGGCGTGGCAGGCGAGGGACAGGGACCTGATGCTGCTCGCCTTAGGCAGTGCCTGCAGCCCAGGCAACAGGCCCATCTGACACTGTCACCAACTCACTTCCTGCACTGGCCCAAGCCTCAGCCTGTGACCCAGGCCTCTCCTGCCCAGAGCAAAGGTGGGCATTGCCCTGGGCCCGGGGAAGACAGTGTGTGCGTGCATGTGTGTATGGCGGGGGCGTGTGCGTGTGGGTGGGTGGCTGTGTGTGCGTGGGTGTGTGTGCGTGCGTGTGTGTGTTGAGGGGCTGGACAGAAGGGCCGGGCCGCACCTTGGTCCACGGAGGGCTCCTTCCGCATCAGGGAAGAGGTGACGGAGACAATGACCCGCATCCTGGGCTCCTGGCAGGAGGAGATGACAATGTTGGCTTCAGGGTCAGAGGAGACCTCGTACTTATCCTCGGTCACCATCTAGGAGGTGTAGATACAACACAAGGCCATGTCATTCCAGCCCAGAGTTCCGTGCAAACAAGCAAGGACAGGGTTGGCATGTACAGGTTCCCACACTTGATGTGCCAGGCCCTGGGCTAGGTGTCTGGAACCTCCAAGTGACAAGGCAGCCCTCCAAGAGTGCACACGTGTAGAGATGTGTACAGATGATGGACCCTGTGATGTAAGGATCCTCCATATGTAAAGAGCACACACAATGCAACAATAAGACTGGCAATCTGATAAAAGGCTGGCAAGTGAAATAACAGTAATTGGCAGAAAAAGAAACACAAACCACCCCTTTTACACAATGACACAAATCAGCCCCATGGCCAGAGAGAAGCAAATTAAAATTATTAATATAAGGAGATGCCACTGTGGGAAGGTCCGTAGCAGCCCAGCATCCACCCATCGTCACAGCCTTGCATGCCACTCGTGTTCGCCTCAAATGCACCTGTCTCCCCATCCTCGAGCCCCTCCCCACTCAGGGCCTTCCCCCTGTGAGGTGGCCTCTGGGGCCTCCATCTATATCACTGGGGCCAGGGCATTGCCAGCTTTCCCTGAAACCTTAGCCATCTCTGTGGGTCTCGGGACTTGTCTTTGCCACTGGGCTGTGAGTTTTCCAGAAAGCAGGACCTGCCTCTGAGCCATCTTTGCATCCTCCCGCCAACAGCATTTAGCAGAAAACTGTCACATCATAGGCGTTCGGGACACACAAGATTTAATAAGTGAAGTAGGAGAACCTCGCTGCCCTTCTTAAAACCCTTTAGACCTCCCCACCTCCCTGAGAATGCAATTCTACCTCCTTGTATGGCCTTCAGGCACAGCTTGATCCAGGCCTTCCCTCTGCCCCTCGTGCCCACCTGTCCTTGGAAACATTTGGGTTGTTTTCCAGGTTTTAGCCTGAATGCCCTTCATCAAGGGACCCTGAATTTACTGATATTCTCCCTTTTAAACTGTGCATAAAAACGAATTCTCAGTGGTGTCCAACAGCAATGCCTCTTCTATCTTAAAGTGGTGTAAAAACAAAAGTACGATCTTACCGGGAGTTGCCGGGGCAGCTGCTCTGCAATCCTCCGCAGCAGGCTGTGCGTGGGCTTCTCGGAGCAGAGCAGGGCCAGGTGCACGTCCCTGTCCCCCCGCAGGAGGAGGCCTTTCGCCAGGAGGCCGATTCGCATGACACCTTTCAGGACCCGAGCCGAGGGGGCAACGCCACTGTCGAGACAAAGCCGCAGACGCAGGCCATCAGGGGAGAGGCAGTGGGTACCCTGGCTGCCCTGCTCACAAGCCACGGGGACCCCGGCGACATTGCCAAGCCTCTCTGTGCCTTAGTGACCTTGTCTATAAAATGGGACCAAGCCCCTCTGTCACAGGTGAGATGAAATGACACATCATGAGATACACATAAGTCGCACTGATGCAGCCAGGCGCAGTGGCTCACGCCTGTAATCCCAGCACTCTCTCTGGGAGGCTGAAGTGGGAGGATCACTTGAGGCTGGGAGTTTGAGACCAGCCTGGGAAACATGGTGAGACCCCATCTATACAAAAAATAGAATTAGCCGGTGCCACAGCGCACACCTGGAGTCCCAGCTACTCGGGAGGCCGAGGCAGGAGGATCGCTTGAGCCCAAGAGTTGGAGGCTGCAGTGAGCTATAATGACGCCACTGCACTCCAGCCTGGGCGACAAAGTGAGATTCTGTCTCAAAAAAAAAAAAAAAAAAAGGAAAAGTAGGAAAAGGAAAAAGAAGCTACCCGGAGAGGAAGGACTTGGAAAGCCAACCCCCTCTCGGGTGACTGAACTCTGTAACAATTACTGAGGACGCCGAGGGACTTTCTGGTTGGCTAATGATCACAGGGGATCAGGGGGCTGAGTCACTCGGGTGCCCGTTGCCACGAACTGCTCTGATTACTTAATCCCTCGCCGAGGGGGAGAAGTCGGCTCAGACTCCCACGGAGCCTCCTTTCAGGGACGAGGAGACTGGGCTTTACAGAGACGGTCGGACCTTTCTGGTGTCAGGGCAACACCTGTGACCACCGGCAGCTCAGCCTCCCTCGGAGATTTCGGGAATTTTCTGCCTGTGGGGGCCACAGGGGGCTCCGGGCTGATCAGAGGTGGGACCAGGACCCCTGCCCGGGAGCAGACCAACCCTCTGTCCCTGCAGCCACCTGGGGAAGGGGGAGACCTCTGGGTACCTGTGCCCGCTGCCTTCTTCCTCCCGGCGTCTGTGGTCCTCCCGGGCCAGCGTGTCTGACACCAGCTTGAGGGCCCGTTCCGCGTGGGCGACAGCCTTCTGCACGGCCAGGAGCTCCCGCTCCGTGGGGTAGATGGCGGCGTGCTTGCACATCACGTGCCGGTCGTCGCTGGACTCTGGCCGCCGCCTGGGCTGTGGGGAGAGCCGCATGCGCTTGCGGGGGCCTTTTGGGGAGTGACAGGCAGGTGGGCAGGTGGCTGTGGCAGGCCGGGTGAGCGTCCGGCCCACACCGAGAGCCACGGGGTGGGGGGTGGGGAGGAGCCCCGGCCTCCCCCGCTGGCTGCGAGAAGCCCTGGCTGAGTGGGGCCCCCGGGACAATATTCCTACGTCTCCAGGCCAGAGGCTGGGGCTCTCGCCCGCACAAGGTACAAACCCGAGGCTCCCATTCAACCCCAGGGACAGGTGTGTCCGTGAAGGGCCAGGAGGAGCCCCAGTGTTGGGACAGACAGAGGCATCAGGCTCCCCAGGGAACGTGACCCCCCTCCCCGGGGGAGTTCAGGAAGCTGAAGGGAGCCCCGTGGCCTGGTGGGGTGTGAGGGGACCGGGCGGGCCATGGGCCCTGTGAGCACCACTGGGAAGGCCTGGAAGAGGCCAGGTCTGTCCAGTGAGGTGTCAGCAGTGGAGAAGGTGGCCCGGCATTTCCACTCTGCCTACCAGGAGTGGGGTGGCAGGTGTCCCCGACCTGCCGGTGGGGGCCGGAGGAGAACAGTCCGGCGACGCTTGCTGCTGCTGCTGCTCGTCCTGGGATAGCAGCTTCTCCTCCAGCCGCCTGTGGGGATGAGACAGGACAGACAGAGCACTGTCAGACTGGCAGCGGGACCCCAGCCAGTCACACCAGAGACACTCAGGCCTCATGTCCCCAGGTGAGTGGGCAGAGCCTGCTTTTTGCCTCTGTGTCTGTGGGTGTCTGCTCCCCACTGGGGCCAGGGGTTCCCCACACGGGCCCTGCCAGGCCCTCCTGGGCTCCGAGGCACTGTATGGGCCCTACAAGGCTGGGAAGGGCAGGGGGCTGGCCAAGGTCACACCCTGGGGACAGAAGAGGCCCGGCCTGGACGGCCATGGCCCTCAGCACGTCCTGGTCTCCTTCCCCAGCACACACTTCCTGCCAGGGGACACTTCATAAATCAGACACTGTATCAGAAGACACTTTGAGGCCTGGCATGGTGGCTCATGCCTGCAATCCCAACACTCTGGGAGGCCAAGGCGGGAGGATCACTTGAGGCCAGGAGTTTAAGACCAGCCTGGGCAACACAGCAAGACCCCATCCCTACAAAAAATAGGAATATTAGCCAGGTGTGATGGTGCCTGTAGTCCCAACTACTCGGGAGGCCGAGGCAGGAGGATCGCTTGAGCCCAGGAGTTGGGGGCTGCAGTGAGCTATGATGATGCCACTGCATTCTAGCTGGGGGTGACAAAATGAGACTCTGTCTCAAAAAAAAAAAAAGCTTTGCGATTGTTCTAAAGGGAGAAGGAGGAGGATGACACAGTGTGCTGCTGGTCGGGGGGCACAGCAGATGCCAGGCCACTAGCTCTGCGAGTCAGGCCGGCAGCCGCTGCTCAACCGCCTGTCTCCACTGACACCCCCTGACTCTCCATCGCCAAGATGTGTCCACCGCCCGCAGCGCCCACACAAACAGCTTGTGTCCCCCCGGCCGCCCGCCGCGGGGAGCTGACAGGTGAGCACTGCAAGGTCAGTGGAGGGCAGGGTCGCCCTCCTCCGCAGGGGCCGGGCGTGGGGGCAGCCCTGGCACAGTGCGGGTGGCACCTGCTCTCCGCCTGCCAGCGCCGCAGCTCCTGCAGCCGCTCCCTGGCCAGGTGCCGCTGCTTCCGCATCCTGTCCTCCACGAGCTTCCGAACCCTGTTGCTGGGTGTGGCAGCGATGGGCAGGTCGGGGTCTACTTTTTTCTGGAAAGGAGAAGTAAGGGTGTGAGAGCTGAGACCTTCCCTCAGACGAGGATGCCGGGGCGGGTCTCACGGCGCAGGGAGAGGCCCAGAGACGGACGCCGTCTTGCTGTGTGTGTGGAACGGCTGGGCAGAAACCCCCCAGTCTTGAAAACTGTCACCCCGAAGCAACGGTGGGGACGTGGGGAACAAAACTGTGACGTTCAGAGTTAACAGAGACCAGAAATAACGTGGAGCCCATGACAGAGGAGTCGAAGGGGCAGGTGCGAGGTACCACTGGCAAATGACATGGCGGTCGCGGAACAGTCGCTGGAAATTCAATGACAGAGCCCACGCTGATTCTAGCTAAAACCACACATTCCAAAGGTCGTCTAAGACAAACACCACGGGTGGGAAATCCGGCAATATGTATTATAAACAGCTCTGAATTCTTCCATTGAACTTCATTCTTAGTGCTTAACTGCAGTACTCAGAAATCGCAAAGCGTCGTCTCAGGCTGAGGTCCCCCAACCCCAGGGCTGCGGACCAGTACCGTCCATGGCCTGTCAGGAACCAGGCTGCGCAGCAGGAGGTGAGCAGCGGGCGAGGGAGCGAAGCTTCATCTGTATTTACAGCTGCTCCCCGTCGCTCGCATCACCGCCTGAGCTCCGCCTCCCGTCAGATCAGCGGAGGCGTTAGATCCTCATAGGAGCGCGGACCCAACTGTAAACTGCGCATGGAGGGATCTAGGCTGCGGCTCCCTATCAGAGTCTAACGCCTGATGATCCGAGGTGGAGCTGAGGCGGTGATGCCAGCGCTGGGGAGCGGCTGCAAATACAGATTATCAGTAGCAGAGACGTTTGACTGCACAATAAATGTAATGAGCTTGAATCATCCCCAAACCATCCCCCGGCCCTGGTTTGTGGAAAAATTGTCTTCCATGAAACTGATCCCTGGTGCCAAAAAGGTTGGGGACCGCCGGTCTAAGGAATATTGACTAGTGGAACAAGTCAAGTGTCCACCAACAGGTGAGTGGATAAACAACATGGTCCGTCCACACGTGGTACATCACTCAGCCATGAACAGGAACGAGGCTCTGACACAGGCTGCAACATGGATGGACCTTGAGGACATCGTGCTCAGTGAGAGACGCCAGACACAGAAGGACACACAGTGTGAGACTCCGTTTATATGAAATGCCCAGAACAGGCAGATCCACAGAGATAGGTCGTGGATTCATGGGTGCCGGGGCTGGGGAGGGGGTGGGGAGTCACTGCTGATGGGATGTGGTTTCTTTTGGGGTGATGGAATGTTCCACAGATGGCGTGGTGATGGCTGCAAGCTCTGTGCAGACACTGAAAGCTGCAGTTCTGTACGTTTCTGTGGGCGGATCACGTGGTGTGTGCATGGTACCTCTGCACAGCTGTCGGAGAGAGAGGACGTGCACGGAACCACTGTCCGTCACCCAGAGGGGAGTCACGTGTGTGCTGGGCTCAAGCAGGACCAAGGCCCGACACTCACATGTGCTCACACACACACGCGCGTGTACACATGGAGACGGGGCCTGGCGCCCAGGCAAGCCCGTGGGAGGGAAGTTCCTGATGGTAGCTGGTGGCCCCTGGTTACGGCCATAGTGCTGGAGGGGCCCTCTGAGTCCCACCGAGCCACCCCTTGGTGGCCGGAAGCTGCCTCTCTTGGCACCAAAGAGCCCCTGGTCACCTCCAAGGAAGGCTCCTTGGGAGCAGCTCAGCCAGGCGACCTGATGCCCACCTGTGGCCTCAGCACTGCAGCTCCAGCCACACGGGCTCTTCGCCCTCTGCCCACAGGGGCTGGCACGCTCTGTGCGGTACCACGCACCTCCTGGGCAGGGCAGAGCTCAGACCAGGCACAGAAACAGCCCCCCTCTGTCAGAGCAGCCACCTGGGACGCCCGGCAGAGGCTCCCCCAGAAAAAGAAGCAACAACAGCGCATGTCCACGATCAATAAACCCATGGAGTGTCTGGGAGCTCGGGCAGCACTGGTGGGCCCTGTTCCGTGTGCACGTGAAGGACTCGACTATGTTCCCTGAGAACGTCCCCAGCAACAAGTGGGGCAGGGTGTCCACCCATCCATCCACCCACTTATCCATCCCTCCATCCAACCACTTATCTATTCTTCCATCCATCCTTCCACCCACCCAGCCACCCACCCCCTAGTTCCTGAGTCCCCCGTGTGCAGACACTAGGCCAGGAGCTGACCCAGAACACAAACTGTGAGTCGAGGCAGAGGGGGACGTGCCCTCGCCTCTCAGAAAGTGCGGGAGGAGCCGAGAGCATTGGAAGCTCAGTGAGCAGGCAGGGAAGGGGAAGGGACCCTGCAGGACCGCTCAGCCGGGCCTGGGCAGCGATGCAGGGAAGGCTCTCGGGCAAGAGGGAACAGCCAAGGCGTGCAGGCGCACAGAGCCCAGCACAGGCAGAGGCTATGGGGGCTCCCAAGCTGGCCGAGGGGTGTAGAGCCTGGGAGGGGCTGGATACTTAACAGAGGAGGGGCCTGGGACACAGCCGCAGAGCTCAGGGTATCCAGTGATGGGGCGCGTCTGCCAGGCAGTGGCAATGCAGGAGGGACACAGGAGGGGCCCAGAGGGGCCTGGCGGGGGTTCAGTCTCGTGGAGGCGAAACATGCGCTTTTGAGACATGGCCCAAGATGCAGAAAATGTAGAAATTCCCCCACCCCCAGCCCAGGTCCTAAGTCAATCGGATCACAAGGGGCGGAAGAGATTCAGGACCTCAGAGGTCCCCGGCGGGTCTCGGGGCGCCCCCTGCTGGACGCACCTTGTACTGCAGCCGGTGCCGCCGCCCCTTCACGTGCATGTCCCTGGCGTTGGCGTCGTTGAAACTGCACTCGCACAACTTGCAGCGGAACCGGATCACTTTCCCCTCATCGTTGCACACCTGGGACAGGAATCACAGCTGAGCGCGTGCCAGGTGCAAGGCCCTGGAGAATGTGGGATGCTACTGACGCCCAGGCCACCAGGCCGTCCCCTGCGGCTTTTGAGTCAGTTTCAAGTTCGATGAGCGGTTTTGAACAAGCCCAGGCTGCCCTGTCCCCTTCCTCCTCTTGCGCGTGTAACCAAGCCCGACCTGGGTGCGGCATCCCCCTGCCTCTGCCCTGCGTGGGCTCTGCCCTGTCCCATCTGGCTTTTAGGTGTTTTATCTCTTTCCTTAACCACGTGACAGGGTCTCCCACGGCACGATCCCAGCTGCTGGGGTATTTTGCACTGGACAAAGCAAAGACGGCCGAATTGGTTGAACCAGAACAGCAACATGAGGACAGACGACATGCTAACCCTCTCCCTTGCCGTCAGCCACATGCGCGTCTAGGGAGGCGGCATTCTGTGCGTCACTGGGGCGGTGCCTGGGAACCGGCCGGCCGCGGAGAATGCTTTGGAATTGGGACAAGCCTTGCAGGGCCACCTGTCTCAGCTCTGGGGATCTGTGGGGTGGCCGTGTGGGGTGCCTGTCTTGGGCTGGGATTGAGAATCCCACACCAGCGGGTAAGACGGGGACGCTGGCCCTGTTTCCCCCGCGTGCACCTGGCCGATGGGGACCTGCAAAGCCGCTGGCTCGGCGGGGAGGTCTGGATGGGGCTGGGCTCTGCTGGTCCCCGGTCCACAAAAGGGCTGGACAGAGGGGTCTCCAAATCCTCCCAGAGAAAACCCAGAGAGGTCTCAAAGCCGGACACACGGGAGGCTCCTTTTCTAGCAAAGCCCGTACACCCACGGCACCAGGGCTCGACGGCCGAGACGGCTGGGACTTACCTCCTCCACGTAGCCGGGGCCCACCGGCTGCGCGTCACAGCAGCCTCCGGAAGCTTCCCCCGTGCCCCCTTGGCTGGGTGCTCCTCCGGGCCCCTCCGATTTGGGTCGGGCCGCTTTCCCTCCCTGGGGTCTGCTGCCTGCTGCCTGCGGCTCGGGAGGCCCTAAGGGGAACACCCGCGTCACTAGCCGCGCCAGCCGGGTGTGCTGGGCGGAGGTCCCCACTGACCGGGGGCTGTTGTGCCTTCCCTCGGGAGCTCAGTGGGAGCTGCCCCGCGTGTGGCCTTAGTCTCCCGTTCACGCCAGCATGTCACAGCGCAGAAAACAGCCGGGCCGACGTGCACCCATCGATGGAGAGGCCCCGGCTTCAGGACCTCGTGTGGGGAACCCTGTACCTCCCCCGCCCCATCAGGCATGGATGGCGCCTCGGGAAAGACAAATCTCTTTGTCACCAAAACTACTTGATGATTTGATCTGCAAAATCATGTTACTATTCCAGAAACGGGGCTGCCAAGGCTAAAAATAAAATAAGGCCCCCATGTCTAGCATGGTGGGCCTGAGCGGAGGCTCTTGGGCAGAGCTGGGTTCGAATTCTGCCTCCAACTTACGGTGCGGCTGGGGCCGGGTCCTTTATAATGCCTCACCTCAGTTTTTCTGCCTGCACATCGAGACTAGTGACTCAGTTGGTTGCAAAGAGTTGGTGTGGAGGCGAAGTCAGGCAACGCACACAGTTAGCAGATGCCTGTTGCTTAATCCTAGCTACCGCCGGCTCAGCCAGCTGTCACCGCCCTCAGGGGCAGAAGCCAGGCCACTGCACGCCCCACGCAGGGAGGGCAGGGCCACGGGTGGACAGCCACAAGCAGCCGGCCTTCCTTTCCTGGAACCCACGTAACTGTGAGGCACAGCCCCGTTCGTTCACCGCGAACGCCAGGGCATGAAGGGGTGGCCCAGGGACTTCTCCGGCACCAGCCCCAGGAGGAAATGGAGACGCTGTTTCACCGGTTCTGTCTACACGTCCTGGACAAGGTCTCAAGTGGTCTCAAGTGTCCCTACCCAGGGACAACGTGAGCCCTCTCAAATACACACCCTCAAATCGACTGCGTGGTCACCCCTCCGTTAACGCTTTCACGGGGCGGCCACAGGGCATTGGCGGGTGCATGGACATGCCCACGGACACAGTGGAGGTGGCAGAGACACGTACCCTTGCACAGGGCCTTCGAGGCCACCGGTCTCCTGGCCGGCGCTGGGCGGCCCTGAGAGTGCTCGTTGGGGCCGGCGGGGGCCTTGGGCTCAGGGGTGCGCTCCTGGGCCGGCGGGGACAGCTTGCTGGAGGTCTCGGGTGCAGGCTGGATGGCAGGAATGGGCTTGCCCAACTTGGTGTGCAGCTTGAAGACCTGGAACAGACCTGAGCCTCTGTCAGGGCCACCCTCAGGCCTGACACGCGCCCCCCAAGCGGTGGGAAGGGTGTCCACGGGCACTTCGCGGTTGAAGGCACTTAGCACAGAGGCTCTAGTTGGACGGGGCTGCTCCGTGGCTTCCAGCGCAGGTGCTGACAGCTGCCTTGGACACGCCCGCCAGCTCTAGGTCTGACACGTGCTCATGGCTCAGACCCGCCCTGCCACACCCCCCATGTGGCCTCCGTGACCCCCACACCAAGCCCCAGCCTGGCAGGGGCGAGACCTGCAGCCAACCCCACCAGGCCCCCAGCTCCTGCTGCCACCTGCATCCCTGTGGCCGCGCCGTCTGCTCCTCCGTGGGTTCACACAGGCCTTCGAGAGCCTGCCCTGAGCTGAGCGGGGGTTGGAGGGATGAGGCCGGGGCGGGGGGTGCCCAAAGGGGGCCTGTGGGCTGGGGCAGCAGGACAGCGGGACAGGGGACTTCCTAACCCTCCTGCTCGATGACTCCACGGGCAGGAATCCCCCCTCCTCTCACACGGGCCCCTCCCACCCCCAAGGTGCCACATGGGGGGCTCCACCCATCCCCCATAAGATGACATAACAGGCATTTTGAAGGCCGCAGGAAGACACTGATATTAAGGCAGAAAGTGGAGAAGGAAGACCCCAGATGGAACACACCATCGGTCCCATCACAGGACAGACTGTCTGTGGCCACGCCCAATGCCAAGCTTCCTGGAGACCTGGGTGCGAGTCCCCAGCACGTCTTCCACTTTTGTGCAGTGAGTGGGGACCCCTTTTATAACTGGGACAAGGACACACGGGCCTGGGGCAGGGGAAGCTTCTCTGGGCTCCGACGGAGCAGGGCGGTCCCTGGGGTCTCCCACGGGCTCCCCCCCAGGGCGGGGTGGGGGCTTGTACCTTCTGGTGCCTGGCGCCCCGGATGTGGGCCGTGTAGGCGTCCGCCCCCGTGCAGGACACGGCGCACAGGCCACAGTGCAGCCGTCCCTGCACCCCGAGCGGGCTGCCATCGGGCTGTGTGCCCATCTTCTGAGCCGCCTCCTTCTTCTTCTTGTGCTTCTGCCCTTCCAGATGCTGCCGGTAGTTCTGCGGCAGTGGGGAGAGGCAGCCTGAGGGGGCGTCCACCCACTGGACACCGCCCCTGCCCCGAAGGCCACCTGCAGGCTTAGCACATGGGAACGTGGTGGGCGGGTGACAGAGGCCCCGTCCCCCTCCTGCCACCCCCTGGCGCCCAAAAGCTTCGAGGGTCCCTTGTGACATCCAGTTAAAAACCTCAGAAGCTCCGCCTAGGAGGCACAAGATTTTCTCCCTTTTCTGCAGAGTTTCCCAAGAGAGCCTCCCCAAAGGACCACACGTGCAGCGTGGGGGGCTGCTGCCATGGGAAAAGCCTGGCTTTTCAGAATGTGACCTCAGACACTGGGCAAGGACACATGCTGCCCGGATGACGCAGTAGATGCTTCCTTTTTAGAAACCTGCTAAGAGCCCAAGGGGCTCCGCGTGGGGGAAGCTCCGCATGAGTGAGTCATGGTATATTCCATTCGCCCAGGGTCACACGGCTAGAGATGGCTCTCTCCTGCCCTCAGCCTGGTGGGTAGGTTTCCAAATGCCATTAACATGTAAACAGTCTCACATGGTCCTCATCTGCTGTCTGTAATTTATTTATCAATTTTTTTTTTTATTAAGAGACAGGGTCTTGCTCTGTCACCTGGGCTGGAGTGCAGTGACGTGATCACAGCTCACTGCAGCCTCCAACTCCTGGGCTCAAGCGATCCTCCTGCCTCAGCCTCCCAAAGTGCTGGGATTACAGGCGTGGGCCACCATGCCCAGCCTGAATTATTTCTTATGACTGTATGTGCGGCTACAATCATCTTGGTAAAAATTTCAACTTAAAAAGCGCAATGAGCATCAGCAAAAAGCTGGGAAGAAGGACAGCTGACGTCTCTGAGGTCCGTGGCCCGAGAGCCAGATGCCGTGCTGAGGGCTGACCCGTGTGGGCACCGTGGCCACCCGGGGAGGCAGATACTCGCACCACACCCCGCCTCCCGAGGAGAGAGGCTCAGAGAGGCCGTGCCGCCGGCTCTGGTCACTGCTAGTGAGGGGCGGGCTGGGCCGAGTTTGGGGCCCACACACGTGGGCTGTGGTGGGCCAGGAAAGGGGATGGGTGGGAGGCACCCAGCCGGCCCTGAGCTGGGCCCGGCCCCTTCGCTCAGCCGTGTGTGTGTCGAGGGGGCTGATGGGGTTTTCTGGAAGCTTCTCGCACGTCTCTAGAGCCAACGGTTGCACACTCGGTGTCTCCCCTCGGCGCAGAGCTTGCTTTCGGAATATTAAAGGAAAATGAAGATGTGTGTTTTGCCAAGACGGAGCTCTAGGGTCTAATTATCTTTCCAGGAAACGAGCCATGACTTTGGCTGGGCTATTTCTGAGCTCCGCGACCTCAGGCTTGTGTGTGCCATAAGGAGAGCTTCACTTGCATGTCCCCAACACGCACCACTCTGCAAACACACACGCGTGCAGGTGCACACATGCACACACATAAGCACATGCATACATGAACATGCACACACATGTGCATGCACACGCAGACACCCATGTGCACTCACATGCACACCTACACGCGTACACATGAATGCACGTGCTTTAGGCTCAGCAGAGTGTCCGGCTCCTCTGCATCCACCCGTGGCCCTGCACAGACGGCCCCCCAGCAAAGAGATGCCACCGCCAGCCGCCTTGGTATCCAAGGCCAGGTCAGTGCTGCCACTGTCGATGCTGGGCCCAGACCTGTTTCTTCAACTGGGGCCCCGGCGAGCAGCTCTAAGGCCATTCCGACCTGTACTTTACTGTGCACGTTCAGTAACGGGCCTGGCTCTGGCTGGCAGCAACCCGCCCCTGGCGCACTCACTTGGCTCTGACCTCTGCCCTGCCTCGGGGGGAGGGTGGCTGACCTGGGGGCCCACACAGCTGATCTTGCAGATGTCGCAGTAGTGGAGCTGGGGCTGCCTGGGGCCCCCCTGGGCTTTCGGCAGCTTGTTGGGTGATGGTAGCTTCTGGTCAGGCCCGGGGCTGCTTCCGGAGCCATCCACGGGTGATGAAGGCTGCCTGGGCGGCGACTGCTGAGGGGGTTCTGGAGGAGGCGGGGGCTGTGTCTGCGGGGACAGGGGCAGAGGACAATGGGGACGGACAGCAGGGTACACCAGCACGTTGCAACCGGGGTAGTTCGGACCTAAGGAGCAGAGATACAAGTGAGGGGGAAGGGCGAGAAGGGGAGATGCACCAACCCCGCCCAGCGACTGCAGGAGCAGGCAGACCCCCTGCCCACACGACGCTGGGCACGCAGGGAAACGCACGTCTTACCTGCGTACAGGGTGTGGGTGGGATTGTAGGAGGGTGCAGGGTAGGAGGTCACGGTGGACGCCTCAGGCTGGACACTTGTCACCGTGGGGTAGATGTAGCCTGAGATCGAGGCGCCCTCTAGCTGCCCAGCCTCCGCCGGGGGCACCTGTCGTGGGAGCTGAGCGTGGCTCTGACCACCCCTGGGGCTGGGCTGCCCGTAGCCGTCTTTGGTCCCTAGGAGACAGGCACGGGCTCCTGCAGGGCCAACCCCCACCACTGCCCCCGGCTGTGGCAGGTCCCCCGGCGGCCCTGGGCCTGTGGATGGGCCGTGGGCTCAGTGGGTGGGACCGCACTAGACATCTGAGCTGGGCCTGGGCCCTGCAGTGACTTGTGAGTGACCTTCGCCCACCACCCCCTTCCAACGCTGGCTTCCTCCCGTGCCACAGGGGAGAAGGGCTGTGCCCTGAATGAGCCGCCACATGTCTCCCCGCTCTGACACCCACGACCACCACAGAACTTACCTCCTGCCACCCTGGGAAACCTTCCTTGAAAAAAAATTTTAGTTCTCATTTTCAGTTCTCACGCTGTCAGACCCGACGGCCTGCCACCCCCTTAGACTTTAGGGGCTGCGAGAGAAGACAGCCCCGACAGCCACGTGGCTCCAGGCCCACCACGAATCTAGACTGTCTGAGACGCGATGTCACCGAGGCTCTCCCTGTGCCGCAGCGACGACCCACCTGGCTGGTGGAGCTCGTCCGGGGCCGTGAGTCCGGCTTGGAGGGCAGCAGGCTGCACGCACCGCTTGTCCCCGTCACTGCTGGCAGCTGCCGACCATCCGTAGCTGTCACCGTCCTGCGTGAGGGTCCCCACGGGAGAGACACAGACAGCTGGGGGAAAGCCACTCCGGATCGCAGGTGAGGCCACACTTGTTCATTCCCACAAGACGCCTCCGCGTCACCAAGTCCCTTCTGTGGGCAGGGCCCCGGGGCGAGGGAGGCGAGGGTGTCCTGGTCTGTCTGGGGCCGCATGGCCAAGGCTGACTGCTCTGACCAGGCAGGGGCCCCTCAATCCATGAGACCCTCCTCCTCCTTCAGAGCCCCCCTCAGGCTGGGTGACACAGCTCTGTGAGTCCCTGGGGCTCCCCTTTGGAGGTAGGAATGTGGCAGTTTTCCCCTTTCTCCCTTGAGGGAGCAACTCTGGTCTGATCCTTCCCCACCTCTCGTACATAGAAAATACCAGAAGGAAAGGTCACGGTAGAGACGCCCGAGAGAAGGGGCTTGGATGGGGGGAACCCACCGCACCCACCCACATGACGCCACCGCTGTCTTCCAGCAACTCTGGGCAAAGAAGACAGGGATACCTGGCAGGTGGCTGCGGCAGTGGGCGCGGGGCTGGGCTCCTGGCGCTGGCTGCTGTGAGCTAAGTCCTGGCCCAAGTGGGGCTGGTACCCGCCACATCCCACCAGGGTGGCTGGGGTCAAGGCCTGGCCCGCGGCGGGGCCCATTCCAGGAGTGGGCTCGGGAAGGGCCGGCGGAGGCTGGACACTGGAACCACAAACACACACAGGAGTCCGACTGGATCAGATCCGGTTCCGAGGCACACCTGAGTCAGGTGCAGACGTTCCAGCCAACACTGGACTCCAGCCTCACGGCTTCCCTTCATATAGCACATCCTGTGCCCCCCAAACATTGTGGAGACCTTCCTATGAGCCCAGGCACGGTTTTAAGTGCTTTTCACAGATTAATGCAATCTTACAACATTGCCATGAGGTTGGGACTGTCCTTGTACCCAGTTTATAGGTGAGAAAACCGAGGTGTGGTAAGTAGCAAAGTCGGGACTCAAACCTGTTCCACCACTTCCCAGATAACCTGCTCGTGTGGCAGGTCTTTTTCTGAACATCAAGAGTCTCCAAAGAAGGTTGAACTTGAACAGTAGGGTCATTCCTCATGTCTGTAATCCCAGCACTCTGGGAGGCCGAGGCAGGAGGATCGCTTGAGCCCAGGAGTTCGAGACCAGCCTGGGCAACATAGCCAGACTCCTGTCTTTATAAAAAATTAAAAAAAACAGGCCGGGCGCGGTGGCTCACACCTGTAATCCTACCTCTCTGGGAGGCCGAGGCGGGAGGATCGCTTAAGCCCAGGAGTTCGAGATCAGCCTGAGCAAGAGAAAATTAGCCGGGTATGGTGGTGGCACCTATAGTCCCAGCTACTCAGGAGGCTGAGGCAGGAGGATCACTTGAGCCCAGGAGTTGGAGGCTGCAGTGAGCTGTGATGATGCCACTGCATTCCAGCCTGTGCAACAGAGTGAGACTCTGTTTCAAAAATAAAAAAAAAAAAAAGGAAAGGAAAAGAAAGAAACTGAGATTCCTGCATCCGGAGGGAAACCATTCAGGGGCCCCAGCGTAGGACAAGTGGAACACAAACTGTGCAATGAACGCGCCAGGACGGGAAGAGTCCCCTTTAAATTCCCATAACGAGTAAGCGCTGGGACCCTCTGCTAAGCTCCTTCGTTCAGGGTATTTTTTTTTTAGAAATGTGAATTTTTAAACTCTATTTTAAATCTCACCATCATGAAAAATCACTTACATTTTTGGAACAAGGAAGACCATCTTTTGGCTAAGTTAAAAAAAAAATGTCACTATGGGCCTTTTGAGGTGCCAAGTGGCCTGAGGCATTTTAAAGATCAATCGTGTTGCTTCTGCTGGTTGCACGCTGAGAAATTCTGTTTGTACAAAACACCTGGACAGAAAGCAGAAGGAATCCTTGATTATCCCAGACCGAATTCATTTAGGCAGGGGACAGACACTGATTGGGGACCGGGCTTCCTTTTGGGGTGATGAGAGTGTTCTGGAGTTAGAGGTGACAGTCACACGACACTGTGAAAGTGCTAAATGCCACCTGTGTGCTGCAGGGGGCCAGGTGCCATTCTAGCAGCTGGGAGCAGCAGGACCAAAGTCCTGTACTCGTGGAGGAACGTGGTGACACCCAGGGCAGATGACTAATAGGCAGGATAATTGACCACCGTCTATAGGGTGGTGGGAAGGTTCTAGGTGCCGTGGAGGAGAGTGAAGCGGAGATAGGGGCTGGAGTCTCAGGGGCTGTGTTTCTCCGTGGGGTGGGCGGGGAGGAGGGGGAGCAGCTTGGGGAACCCCAGGGAAGCACATTTGGGCACTGGAAGCTCTGCCCGTGAAGTGCCTGGAATCTGGACTGTTCCAGAAGGCGGTGTGGCCGAGCAGAGGGTCAGGGAATAGCTGGGGTGGGTGGATCTCATAGGCCAGAAGTGTAGGGGCTTCGGCCGTTACCCTGAGACCCCCAGAGATTCCCGCAGAGGAGGGACACGTTCTGCCTAATGGTAGAGCCTCTTTGGCTGAGGGGCTGGGAACAGGCTGAAATGGGGGCAGGAGCAGAAGGGCCAGGCTGGAGTGCAGTGGCGTCATCACAGCTCACTGCAGCCTCCAACTCCTGGGCTCAAGTGATCCTCCTGTCTCAGCCTCCTGAGTAGCTAGGACTACAGGCATGCACCACCACACTTGGCTAATTCTTTCTTTTTTATTTTTTTGTAGGGATGGGTTCTCGCTATGTTGCCCAGGATGGTGTTGAACTCCTGGCCTCAAGTGATCCTCCTGCCTCGGCCTCCTACAGTGCTAGGGTTACAGGCATGAGCCACCATGCCTGACCCGGAGCTTTCAATTTTAAGCGATGCTAAAAATTAGGGTTTTTGTGACATCTCCCAATTTTTAAATGCTGACAGTTCAAATAAAACAAGGGAGAAGCCACTGCGCAGGCCATAGAGAGCAGGTGTGAGGCTCCCGCGCAGCCTGCAAGCTGCCAGTTCTCCACGTCTGACCTATGCCGAGGAGCAGAGAGCAGTAGTCGGGGAACAGTGAGAGAGTCACTACAGCGGTGACAGCTGCTGTGTCCATGACGACAAGGACAGGGCGCTGCCTGCCAGGGAGGGAGGGGCGTGCAGGCAGGAAACTGGGGGAAGCATCGCTTGCCCGGGCACTTGGGCAAAGTAGTACGTAAGCTCGTCTGCGTTAACGCACTTGTTTTTCTTTCTTTTTCTCAGCAACCTGAAACACTCCAAAGAGGCGATGCCCATTTACAAGCCCCGGCTGGAATTCTCAACTGTGGGCCCCAAGATAATGTCTTTTGACGGCTTTTTGGTCTGAATGTTTGTTTTGGGAAGTCAAACTCTTTGGGGTACATCTTCTAGATTAAATCTGGGAATGCAAAGGTGGCAAAACCCATTGATATCATTTTATTCACACAGTCACCAAACTGAAGGGGACGCTGAGGCCCAGAGATGGAAGGGATTCCTCCAAGGAGACCGGGTCCCCTTCCTTTGGGACATGCTCTCACTTGCTCCAAAGGGATCGGCCAGACCGTGAGTGCAGGCCGCGCTTTGGAAGGACACCGGTGTGGAATCACAGGCAGAAGCAGGTGATGACACGTTTTAGGGAAGGTCAGGAAGACAGGTCACCCCGTTTGCATATGACAACGATTTCTGTTGAACATCGCGCTGAATAACTCAGTGGGAACACAAAAAAAATAAGCCAAAAACATTTAGCGTCCGAGAAAAAAAAACAAGTGGAAAAAAGATTTTCCTGGAATCACAGGACTGAGAACCTCAGTTTTGTTTCAATGACGGACTTGCTTCCGGGACAGCTCAGCAGCGACTCGCCTGTCAACCCCCGGGCACAGCACTCCCTACATGGCACAAGCCACGCCAGTCGGGAAGTCTCAGCAAAGAGCGGCCACCCGTCAGTGCCACTGAGACAAAGTCTCTGCCCCAGCGCCTGCCCTTGGCAGTCTTCCGGAGGGTCTGCGAGCACGAGCCAGGCGGGCAGCTCAGGCTGGGCTGGCGCTGCCTGGGGGTCTGCAGAGACCACTTCCCACGTGCAACACCAAATGCCAGTGTGTTCACTGAAGACAAGCACCAGACAGAGTACGTTCAGATCTGTTTTACTGGGCAGTAAGATCAAGTTTCAGTGACCATATGCGTACTCGCGCACGCGCACACACGCACACATGCACACGGCCATTATCCCTAACTTTAGGCTGAATTAGATGGTGCCACCCGGCTTACGTGACTAAGCCACTTCAACAACATAGAGCCTCTACCACAACCAGAACTGGTGCTGACTTCTGAACACAAACCCCTCAGGACTACCGGGATGGGGGCTCCTGCTGGCTGAGAACCATACTGCCCCTTTGAATTACCAGATGCATCCTTGCACTGTCCCACGATCCTCTCACAACGAAGCTTTTCACACACGAAGCGGGGAGAGCCTTCTGAGGGATCCGGCTGGGTCATCTTAACTTCCCAACGACACCGGGCTGGGCGCTTTCTTGGCTTTCCCAGCCTGGGGAGGGGTTTCTGTTTTCTAAATGTCTGAAGAATGCAGCCCCAGACCACAGACCTGGCCAGGCCTGGATGACGGTGTACGGACTGGCAATGACATGGTCTCCACCAGCAGGCACGATGTCTATGTGGACGCGGTTAAGGCTGCGCTGGCCACACGACCACCTCCCCAGCCTCATGCGCGCCCCACTGCAGGGCAAGGCGCTGGCTGGGGAGCTTCACAGCCCTGACTCCTAGCCGGACCCTTCGCAGCTACTGCACCCCTGGGCCTCACTTTCCTCGTCAGCAAAATGGGCACAATAACACCCACCTCAAAGGATTACCATGAAGACTCAATGGACACAGAGTGCCGGGACTTACATGGCGCAGAGAACCAACAACCAGCAACTGTCACCATTACCCGCCACCCTCGGAGCCTCACGGGGTTCCAACCGCACTGCCAACTTCCCGACATTCTGCAGGAGATGGAATTCAGCTTAAAATTTATGCTGAAAGTTATTAAGACAGAAGTCCTCTTGACAGGAAATCAAGTGTTCGCCCAAATCCAGCCGTCCTTGTGTTTAGATCGGACGAGAACACGAAGGCACAGCAGCTGGCTGTGCGACACCAGGGGAACTGTGACAGGACTGCTGGATGAAGACAGCAACGCGACAGCAGAGACGCCGGCCTGGCACTCTCCACCGGTCTGGACTGTCAGCGCACAGCTCTGAGCTGTCAGCGTTCTCGTGACGGACAGACCCTGCTGGAGTTCCTTGGCCTCAACCACGCGCTGCACTCGGCGCTCATTAGAAGCACCGTCCAAGCCCATTTTCCATGTGGGATGAAGCCATAGTTCTGAACACCTGCGGCACTAACTCAAACCCTAACAAGGAATCATGAGATTCTTAAGACCACGGCCAGGGACAGTGCCTACACCTGCACTCCCAGCACTTTAAGAGCATCGCTTGAGGCCAGGAGTTCCAGACCAGCCTGGGCAATGTAGTGAGACCCCATCTCTACAACAAATAGAAAAATTAGCTGGGTGTGGTGGTGGCACCTGTAGTCCCAGCTACTTGGGAGGCTGAGGTGGGAGGATCGCTTGAGCCTAGGAGTTCAAGGCTACAGTGAGCTGTTATCACACCACTGCACTCCAGCCTGAGC